CAGTTTTCTCTTAAAAGACAAAAGCTCACTTTTCAAATTCTCTCTCATAGAAGACTCAAGTCCTTTGAATGCCAAAGACTCTTCAAAATAAAATAAGAGTTATTTAAATATAAGGCTCCAAGAAAAATCCTAATGTTTAATTTAGCTGTCTCGGTTCGTACAGTACAATCTGAAGATCATATAGTACGATTAATTCAATTCCCCACTTAGTACTGTATGAATATGGTTCATTGTACGATCAATTCAATAGTTCCAATTGATCATTCAGTATGATTGAGTGATATTCTACCTATGTAAGATCACTAGATTTCTAATGGATGTAAGGTTATCAATGTATATAATAATCATGCTAACTTCATCAAATTCTATTCCAGTCATAATGAAATAGGTAACAATCGACAATAAGGGGCAAAATTACTCTATCTCCAGCTTTGAGTAATATTGAGGTTCTAAGAATATACTGGATGATGCAGGCATTTTGGGTGATGGCTTCCGGCGGTTATCCGTTGAAAACCCGGCGGTGTATGCCGCCGGTAATACCATCAGCCTTGACCGCCGGCGCCGTCGGTAAAATAACCGGCGGTTAAGCGAACACACGACGGCCTCTTTAACCGCCGGCATACCATCGGTAAAGTGACCGCCGGTTAGCCGTCGGTAATATAACCGGCGGCTTAACGACCGGAGAACCGCCGGTTACAAATCCGGTAGTTACCGGCGGCATACGCCGCCGGAAAACCGCCGCCTAACAGAACCGCCGGTAATAAGCCGCCGGTAAAAGTTTCCTACGCCAATTATACCGGCGGTTTAAAAACCGCCGGTAAAATTTAAAACCGCCGATTTTGCCTTACTAACCGCCGGAAAAAACCGCTGGTATTTGACGTTTTTCCTGTAGTGAGTGTTTACAAGTGACTGGTGTTTATTGAATGGTGTATTTCTTAGAGTCAGATTGACCTATGTTCAATCATAATCCCCCCTAGAGCTAACACTATGGGGTTATACTCCTTCGATAGAGATGTGGAGGTATTAATCAAAGTCCTCATAGGTAATTTCTATGGGTCACTTACAAACATAAGATTGTTGCGAGGTTCAATCCACATTGAGTCTTAGGCTAGCAAAAAAATCATGAGTTTGGAGTTAAAGGGAAATTTTAGAGTCATAATAAATTAAAGTGTGGTGCTACCTTGTAGTTTATAATATCTTGGTTAAGGATCCTCGAAGGAGAAATTATAGAAGGATTAAGATGCTCTACCCTTTTCTCCTAAAAAATATGAGTCCCATGTAGTAAGATGTGTGAGGTTTTAAACAATGATGGAAACTGAATGGAGGAATTACACAATTCATATGATCTGGGAGAAAGCAAGCTAGGTCATGTGAAGCGTATAGACCAATTCAGCTCAATTGGTCATAGTTTGTCTTGGTTCAGATTATTTCAATAATATACCCAAGAGAACTTTGTTATCATTATTACAGTCATATTAACAGTACAAAAAATATGTTCAACTTTAAACTTACTATAGCTTCTTTGTGATGAAAGATAGTTTACTATGGACTAAGTTGCTAGTTTTGTTTCTAACTTGCAAGGAAAGTAACATATAAGATCATTAAATACTTTAGCTATTTTGTTGCCTTTTTTTAAATTGATTTTTGGCAGAGTGATGAGTATGAAGTATGATAAAGATTGCTTTTGTGGATCAAGATGTCAAATTTAATTAGCAAAAGGCCCAATAAATTTTCATTGATTCAATATAGGAATGAATAATGCCATTTACACTTTCTTTTACAAAGCTCTTTCAAAAAACTCTCCATCATTGCTCCAAGCTAACTATAGCTTGTGCGGGTCTGTAACTGTTTCTCGCATCGAAACAGTGCTTTACCCCTAGATGTCCATTCAACTGCTGCGACTCAACGCATTTCGAGGAGAACCAGCTAGCTCTGGATTCGAGTGGCATTTCACCCCTAACCACAACTCATCCATTGATTCTTCAACATCAGTCGGTTCAGAATTTCACTTAGTTTCACCCAAGCTTCATCCTGGTCATGGATAGATCACCGAAGTTTGGGTCCATAAGCAGTGGCAATCCTAAACCAACTTCTTAAATAAATTTGTGACACTTTTTCGAGGAGATAATAACCTCTAAAAAAAGCTAAATGAATAAAATAAGTAAAATGCACTACCATTTATATGCTCCATAAAGATGCTCTATTTGTTAGCCTCTTTAAATTCCCATAAGGAAGCGGAAAAGTCCTTCCACTTCCAATTCCCCAAAGCCATTCTTGGAATCCTGCAAACCATTAGAACCAGTGTTAGAATTTATTATCCACATTTAATATAAGTAGTAGCAATGTTAAAATTCTCACACTTCATATCAAATTCTGTAAGGGTTCATTAATTCATTTGGTTAATTGAAGTTTAGAAATTATTATTTTTTAATATGATAAGATTGTAAATCTCATTGATTTAGTATTTTTAAAGATGATTATTTTATTTTCAAGGTTAAAATGAGTGAGTGATAATAAATTTATTATTCACTAATTTTTTTTTTTTAATTTCTAGGCAATCGAATGAGCCCAAAGATCCTCATCGTATATATAAGAAATAATTTAAGATTATTATATAAATAAATATTTAAATAATTTATTTTTATAATGCTTATTATAGAATGGAGATAATGAAGGTGCGAACTCTAATATGTCTGTGTTTCTCTTCAGCCTCTTCCAAAGCCCAAAGGTTGATATCCTGATCCTGCAAACCATTAGAATCATTGTTAGAATTTCTTATCCATTGTTAATATAAGTAATAGAAATGTTAAAGTTCTTACACTTCATATCAAACTAAGGGGTCACTAATTTGGTTATTTGAAGTTTAGTAATTATATTTTGAATATTCATAAAATTATGTATAAATCTCATTGATTTTTTTTATTTTTTTTTCAAAGATGATTACTTTATTTACAAACTTAAAATGAGTCTAAAGATCCTCATGAAATTTATAAGAAGACAATGATAGAATAATTGAAGAATTTATGATATAATTGAACTTTATGAAATCTAAACCGTGCATATTTTTCAGGTTTATTTTAGTTTGCTACATCAAATAAAATATCCTATTTTTTTTTTTAGAAAAAAATTAAATAAAAAGTCTATGACACACTGTGATTTATCACCATAATATTAGTGCGGCTGACCAATTTCATCAATACTTCTTCCACAAATCAGTGTAAAAAATAAATCCACACTGCAACCCTCTTAATATTAAAAAAAAAAAAAAACATAAATAAAGTATCTAATGCTATGATCCAAAAATTACATTAAATAAGCAAAAAAAAAGTGATTTTCATTAGCAAACTAACATAAGGTTCTCAACACCTATCCAAAGGATTGTGGATTAAATTATTTTAAATAACTAAAAAGTATATAATGTCCTAAATTAATTTAATATGTTAGCATAAAGAAGGAGAGAGAGAGAGAGAGAGAGATAGAGAGAGAGAGAGAGAGAGAGAGAGAGAGAGAGAGAGAGAGAGAGAGAGAGAGCTATATTTTGTATAAGAATGGTTTCATATACATACCTTATCATAGGCGAAACCATGCCATTCGCACCACTTTCTCATACCTGGACAGAAAAGTACACGTGCAATGTCTTTTTCAACTGAAACTCGTCCAAATGAATGATTAGAATATTCTTCTAGTTCTGGCTTCAGAAGGTTACATTTAATTAATGTCAGATCTTTAAGCTTGCCAACAAGATAATTCAAGTGGTTCACTATCTTCAGATTGGAACATCTGCAAATTTTTACTTTTTGAAGTCTCAAAAGAGATCCTCCGCTGTTAAAAAGTGCAATATCTTTAAGACTTTTGCAGTTCTGTACCTCAAATTCCTCGAGGCATGATGGGAGGGATGATATCTGTTGCAGCTCGTTGCAATGAAGTATGTGTAAAAACCTTAGGCTCAACAAATCTCCACTTTTCAATATTGGACGCCCTTCCAATTTGGGCATACTTTTATATTTCCCGTGCACCTCTATAGAGCAATTCTCATGACCATTAGGAGGAGCATTATAGCACCAAAAGTCATTCCCTATTCTCCTTATCCCATTAATATTGCATATTTCAAGTGATCTGAGAGATGGTAACATAGATAGAGGGAGGAACTTACATTCTTCTTTGCTTTTGAAATTCATCAACTTTACTTTAGTCAAATTTGAGAAGTCAGGATTGCCAAACCAACTTGGGAAGCTGCTACCACCATAGCCCCATATAATTAACTCTTTAAGGTTGGTGTGGGGTTGGAGGCCATCAAGAATAGCATCATCTTGCCTTATACTTTTAGCATCTTTTCTATTTTGCCAAGAGAGTTTTAGGCTCTCAATTTGTGGCTTACTTAGCAAATTGGCGCCCTTTGCATCTTCCCGATTGACCACATTTTCAAGCATATCAAGCTCTAGACTTTGATGTAGATTTGTTAAGTTTTTCAACCATCCAATGTTAGAATATAAGTCATCTATTCTTAAGATATGATGATAACTATGCATTTTACTTGTCTTCTCAACATCAAAATAATAGTAATAACCAAAATCAAATGTCAAGAGATTTTCAAACCCATAATATGATTTTGATAGCATTTCTAAAGAATCACAACGAATCATCAAGTGACGTAAGTTGATGAGTTTTCCAATTGCATGGGGTAGCATATTAATATGAAATGATTGGAGTATTAGTGTTTGTAACTTGTAAAGGTTACATAACGAATACTTTGTCATTTGGATTGTTCGCGCACAAATAGAGAGGTAACGGAGTTGCTGTAAGTTACCTATCAAATCTACATGTTGAAAGCTGCATTCACATTCAGGTGCATGAAGTCTCAAAACACGCAAGTAACCCAAATGAGAGAATGACTCCTTAGAAAAAATACTTTGACGAGGAACCTTAAATAAATTATTTGAGCTAACAGTATAAAGTGTTCTTATATCCCAAAATGAAAGAACCTTATCAACCTTTGTGTGCTGTATGAAAATATGCTTTGCCTTTTTGGAGACGTTCTCCAATTCAACAAAATCTAATGAAGACCATATCTCATGTCCAGTTATAGATTGAGCTAACTCATGCACCATATCATGCAAAGTGAATCTCTCATCTTTTTTTGAGCATTGAAATAATGACATTCTCACCAAGTCTTCAAAGAACTCAAATGCAATATCTTCCAATAATTCCTTTCTTCTAGTAACCTGAATGTAACCTTGAGCTATCCACATTCTTGTCAATTCTACTTTCTGAAAATTATGACCCTTTGGGAACAAAGATGCATAAAGAAAGCATGGTTTAAGATATGGTGGCAAGTGATTGTAGCTTATTCTTAGTGCAGGCAAAATAGAAGTTTTGGTATCCTCAGACGTCCATAAATTATTGTTTAACACATCCTTCCATATACCCTCATTAACTTCATATCGTAGAAACCCCCCAATCACTTTTAAAGCCAAAGGTAAACCACCACATTTCTTAGTAATTTCCCTCCCAATTTGTTCAAAATTCAGTTGCTGATGAAGTTCCCAGCCATAGAAAGTCTGTCTTTGAAATAATAACCATGAGTTCTCTTCATTCAAGCACCTAAGCTCAAGCGAAGGCACTGTTTGCATGATGCGAGCAACCAACATGGATCGAGTGGTTATAATAATCTTTCCCATTCCAGTACCAGAAAAAGGGGCTCGTAAGGCCTCCCACATATCTGGTCTCTCATTCCAGATGTCATCAAGAATAAGTAGAAATCTTTTTTTCAATAAAGCATTCTTAAGTATGCATTGAAGATCATTCAAGTTATTATTATTATTATGAATGGATGAACCCACTATTGATGTCACAATTTCTTTTGTTATTCTCAAAACATCAAAATCTTCAGAAACATAAACCCATACCTTCGGGCTGAAATTTTGACATACCAAAGGATCATTATATAGAAGTTGAGCCAGTGTTGTCTTTCCCACACCTCCCAAGCCAACGATGGAAATTATGGTGTTCTCCTTCTCAGAATGAGACATTAATAATTGAATGATCTTTTCCTTTTCAACCTCCATACCAAAAACATCATTTTCATTCACAAGAGAACTACTCGGTGGCCTCTTCAAAGCACCATCTAGATAAAGCCGCCTAGGTGCATCCTCTTGTCTTAGCCAAAGTGCCTCTCTATCCTTTGCAATCTCATCAAATTTCTCTATGATCTTCATGATTCTTTTAGCCATGTTGGAAGAAATGGGAATTTTAATTGAATTGGAGGAAGGTAGTGATACCTGATCATATTTGTCATGCATGATCAACATCATCCACTCTCTTCCTAATAATAAAAATTTGATGGAATTGGGGATGAGAAGACATACCTGATAGCCATAATGATCATCATCATAGTCTTCTACTTGTTTCCCCTTCAGAGAAGCCTCTATTTCTACAGTTGTGGTCATTTCTTCCACTTGGGTTTTGATAACTTGATAATCATATTGATCCAAGACATTTTCGGCATCATAAGCAACTTCTCTAAGCTCGCTAAGCCAAAGCTGGATGGCCTTGTCATAGATCTCCCGCTCCTCGGCATCATGAAGAACTGATTGAATTCTTCCTAGCATCCTCGACAATCGGCTCAAATCCTCCATTAATTTTTCCTGGCTTGAATCAACTTCAGTAGCTGCTCCATCTTCTACTGCTATGGATGGTGAGGAGGATGAAGCCCGCGAAGAAAAAGGAAGCATAAACTGAGAAAAACTTTCCAAAGAAGACAATAGATTCGAGATGATCCAAGAAGTGGTTCCTACCATTGTCAAACCTTAGCACTGGAATCAATGAAGCTTCTATGTGGATTGGAGATGATGAAGAGAAGAATAAATAATACCAGAGCTTAAGCATAAAGTAGGGGCACATAAATTTTGAAGTCATGCTTAGAGCATCCAATAATTTTAGCATTTTGTGATAAGATACTAAAGTTTACGAATCTGGCCAATGAAATATGCCCACCTGGGTGGCATATGAGCTACTTGATTTGGGCATAAACTGTTGGTCTTGCTTTTAGCCTCCAATAATTGTAACTTTTTTGTGAGAATATATTAAAGTGAATGATTTGGCTAAAACAATTTGCACATTTTGATGGCATTAATCATAAAATATTTAATAACAAGAAAAGATAGAGAGTTTATAAAAATAACATATTATAAAAATATTATCTATAGTAATTTACATTATAATTTTAGAATTCAAATTTATATAAAAAAAAATTAATTTCATAAACTAAAAAAATATATTTAAACTTCTTAAATATGTTGAACAAGGTTGAAAAAAATTGTCAAATGACAATATATATTGCTAGCATGAAGTTGAAAAATGAATTCTTTTGTAAAAATATATAAATATAAAACAAAGAAAAGTTTCTTCAAGTTGAGCATGTTGCAAGGGACATGTCAATGAAAGTTTTAGTGGGAGGAATATGGAATCTTTGCTTTTAAATGTCAATAATAGTACTAATCAATAATTTTTGCTTTTTAAAGTTTCCAATAACTTTAATGTTTTGTGAAATTTCTTTAGAAAGAGAATGAGATGAACATAAAGGTTGTGTAATATACTATTTGACAAATGAGTACATTAGATTTTAAATTGTTTTACACTTTAATTGGTTAGTTCAAAGGGCAACAATTTAAGCTTTCAAAATTTTAGTTAAAAATTTCATGACACTATTTGACAAATGAACCAATATATGTATATTGTGTGATTATAATTAAAATGAGTGTATTGCTTGATATATATATCATGAGCCTATGATTGTTCAATTTTGATACTATTAAATTACAAACATATTTAAAGATTATTACATTATCATTGATATTAATACAAACTGTCCAATTGAGTCCCAAAATATTTGATCAAAATGATTAAAACGTCCCTTTCTTAAAAAAGTATTTTTAGAATTAGAATCTTACATTTATTGAGTATGAGATTAACCCACCAAAAAGATTGAGATAAAACTAATCCAAAGCTTGACTTAATCACCCAACATATAAACCCAATGTTGAATCCTATTAATGACATCAATGCCAATGCCCAACATTATCACCAACCTTGAAGCATATCATCATCACCAATGTTGCCATCCATAGTTGCCACCATTACTGATGCTCTCAATCACCAAAAACAATAATTCCCACCACCTATGATAAGGTTGATGCCCGACATAGCTAACAAAACTAATGCTCACCCTTACCATAATGTTGACATGTTACATTGCCACCAACACTGATGTCCAACATTGCTAATGAGGTTTACACATGATATATCGACCAAAGGATGAACGCTCACCATTGACACAAATGTGCATGCTTGACATGCAACATTCTATGTTCAGATTAACACCAACACTCATCATCGACATCAAGATTGACACTTATTGTTATTAGCAAGGCTAAAGTTCATCGTTTACACCAGCGATGACGCCTATGGTCAATACCCTCCATCAAAATCAATGCGAATGTCAAATGTTGTCAACAAGGTCAACCATATAACGTATACTAAAGTCAAATCCCAACGTTGCCAAAAAAGATTGACATCCAACATCACAAAAAAGCTAACACCCAATGTGCGCACTAACATCGATGCACATCCTCATCGAAAAGCCCAAAATAAAGTTAATTAATAATTTTTAATGAGTCTACTAAAAATTGCTTCCACTTAGAATACTACAATGGGCATGTCAACGAAAGCCTTCAGGCAGGATGTTGTAGTCTTATTGTTAAAATTTCATTAATAGTACTAATTGTTAAGTCTTGTTGAACCTCCAATAGCTTCAAAGTTTATGACAAAGTTTTATAATCTAAGGAACTATGGTCAACTAGGTGGAATTAGGCAAATAAAATTTCACGAATTGGAGGTAAATATGAGTCTAAAGACATTACAACACTTATATATATA